ATTTCTGCAACTAACATTAATCTGTATGCATTTAAAGAAACAGAAAATTCTTTTTAACCCTCTAACACATGCTATGCATTGGCGGATCCAAAGGGGGGAGGGGGTGAGGGGTCTTTCAGCACGAGCTCAAGTAGCAGCTGTTTTACTGCAGAAAACCTTGTTCGATACCGTCCAGTGCAACAATCAAAGGGTGGATAGCGAACTGGCCGAATGGGGGGTTGGGGATGAAAAATCGCCTACTACTCCCCCCCACCCCCAAGGAGACCGCCCCGGATTCGCCTATGACTGTATGATTCTTCGACGTTGCGCGGTCCGCAACTCCTTCAGTTCCTCTAACGTATATTCCCTGGCAGTCAACTTCTTGGCGATCCTGAGATTTGTCCCGTCCCCTGGAAGATGTAATTCCGATCCAAACTACAAGTCCAAAAAGACACTTATGAAAATCCCCCCTCCTCCTCTACCCTTCCACTTCGTTGTGCTGAGCATGTTAATACCAAATACCATTTGGACGTATCTCCTTAGGGATGTGTTGCAGAAATTCTGAAGATACAAACAATGAATATCCCTGGCTAGGAGAGACTGAAAGAGGACGGAGGGCCCTGAAATCTTCTGTGTGTTAACATATGCAGTTTGTTTGGCGTTGCTGACCCATAGTGGAGAGGAGTACACTAAACAAGGAAACACAGGAGAAGACTAAATACACTGATATAGGAGCAATAGAAAGGTATTTTGAAGTAGAATAAAAGAGAAAATAATAAAAGAAAAACACTAAATATTGAGTAAATAATAACCTTGATACAACTGGCGATGAGGGATGACGCGCTGCAGTAGTGTTTTTGGGCCTACCACTGTCTTTTGGGAATCGTTCAACAACACTTTGAATCCAATCATCGCTCGAATCAATGTTATTTCGGTCAGAAGCATTTGCTGTTGAGTCAACAACGAGCCGTTTTTGACTCGGTGAGCCCCTGGACTCGGCCGGATCGTTGCTCCAGCTATTTGAGCCATCTGTGTTCTGAGATTGACGGGCACCTAAATCGTCTTGAAGCTGATCCCAGCCGCTAACTTCAGCTATATCTTCGCTTCGTCCTCTGAACGGTCTAACGTTATTACATCCAACAATAATACCATTTACACCGCCGTGTCGAACAGATCCGTTTGGATTAACAGTCTGGCGGATAAAGCTCGTTGGAGCGGCCCCCGGCGCCGCGGTGGGAACCTGTGGATCCATCGGTTGCTCCTCATCATATTCATAACTTGTGTCCATCGCTTGTCCCAAAAAATCATCCTGATACAGGGCCTGCTGCTGCTGCTGTTGATTGGGATCAATTGCTTGCCCAAATGGTTCAGTTTGTTGAATAAAATCTTGTCTGGTCGGATTAGTCGTCTCAGCAGCAGCAGCAGCAGTAGCAGCAAAATAACTGGTCCCCTGATCAACAGAACTTGTAGATTCAGCCTCGGGCCGAACATATCCAATCGGATTAACAGTTCGTTGAAAAGAAGAAATCGAACCAGCATCCGGTTCAGTTGTTCGTCGAACGGGACTTGAACCAGTTGGGGAAAGTTTACCCATAACTATCTCACGTTCTCGAAGTAGTTGCACATCATTTTCCCGCACTGCTGCTGTTGCTGCTGCTCCTTCTCGAGCTATAAAATCATTGCTAGGCTGAATTTGCTGAAGTGTTTCCTCAGCTGATTCCCGCTTCACGTCAATTTCGTTTTTGATGATTGACTGTTTGCGTTTTTCCCGCTCCGCCGCTTTTTTTAGG